CATACAGTAGGGGGCAAGTAAGGGTGCAACATACAGATGTTGGAAAGACACATTCAGTCCATAATCATCCCTTAAGGGCTGGAGCTAGAAATTGTCAAAGGATCAGTTTTACCAAATTCTATTGGTCAGAGCAGTCACAGAACCTGTTGAGCACAAACAGGCTCTGTGACCGCTCACCTCAAGGGGAGGTGACATAGACTTCACTTCACAACGGTCAAAGACTCTGTTCCCTTCTCTAACCTCCACATAGGAAAGGGCTTTTTCCCCTCAACTGCACAGAATGAGATTAATTATAAGCCTTGGGTCTGGGCATGCTCTCAGCATTGCTCCAGGCATGACTGCCTTTATAGATTTATTTGTGTCTTTCCTTAGCTTTTTTCAAAAAAGCAATGGAAACCTTGTGTTTTTCTTTTTTACATCATTTATGATTTGTATACCTGCTTAAGCACATGGCTAGGAAGAACTTCTAATGAAAAATCTAAGCTTATCTCTGGTTGAAATGGTGTCACATGATACTCTTATTTCTAAAATATTATATTTCCTTTATTTGCATTCATTCGCAAAACTTAGCAGAAGTGGAAAAAGAATTTTACAGACTAAGATTTCTGGGGAGAGGAGCTCTGAAGTCTATTCTCAAAAGTCAACCTAGCATGTGGTTTCTCAGCTAAATTTCTTAGAGGTAAGGCAAGAAAATGAGACCATATATCTGGAGATAGCATTACAGTGAAAAAATCATGGGCTTTGCAGTTAAATCAGCTTGGGTTGAATCCTGACTCCTCTGCTTTTTAGCTATTCCGGAATTCACCTAACTCCCAAGGCCTCAGTTTCCTCATCAGTATGTTGGAAATAATAATGTCATTAGTGCAGTGAGTTGTGAGAGTTATAAGACACAACAAAGTAAAGCATCCGTTATTCTACTTGGTGTAGAGAGGTTCTCAGTATGTGAGGACTAGTGTGATTATGTAATAAGTGTTTAGTAGACTACAAAAGACTTTCATTTACACTTCCAAGCTACTCCTAAAGAAGGAAAACAGATACATGTCCCAATGTAGGGAACGAAGGTATTAAGACCAGCAACACGATGAAGATCACAGGCTGGTTCAATAGGAGGAGGGCAGAGCACTGCTGACTGGGGTCTGGTTCTCAGTGGTGATGGAGCTCCAGCAGGCAGAGGGGGCTAGGTGAGCACCTCATAACCACACCCTGACCTTGTCACCTTATGTGTACCTGCGGCAGGACTGTGCTGAGAACAGACTGAAACCACAGACCGTGCCCCGGGAGAGGCATTCTACTAGTCAAATAAGCGATGACAGGATTTGGAGGTTTTCCCAAAATCATAATGGGAAGACATCAATATACATTATTAAAAAAACAGGAACAATACCATCTGTCTGCCTAGGCTAACAGCAACTTTACTGTCTGCAATAATGTTTGAGAAACAGACTAAGGATCAAGCAATTTAACTTGAAAAAATGAACTTTTCTTCCTTCACTTTTTTTTTAAGATTTTATTTTTAAGAAATCTCTCTACACTCAACGTGGGGCTCAAATTTAAACCCCTAAGACAAAAATAAAAAATAAAATTAAATAAAATTAAAATTAAAAAAAAAATAAACCCCTAAGATCAAGAGTTGCACGCTCCTCAGACAGAGCCAGCCAGGTACCCACTTTCTTAACTTGTTTATAATGGTTAATGAAAGGGTTCTTGCTATAGAGAGCATTTTCATCTATTTCAGACTATACAAATCATAAAGAAGTAACTTGAAAGTTACACTATCAGATGTGCTATCAAGTATGTAAGTGTGGATGACTTGGCTTTATGAGGTTTTTGTATAGTGAAACTATCCCCAAAAAGGCAAAGTGTAGAACAGTATACACATTCCATATACAAATGGAATATACAGTTGACCTTGAACAATGCAGGTTAGAGGTTAGTTACTTTTGACTCCCCAAAACCCTAACTTCTAATAGTCAACTGTTGACTGGAAGCCTTATCAGTAACATAAACAGTAGATCAACACATATTTTGTACATTATGTGTATTATACACTATATTTTTTTGGAAACTTTTTTTAAAGATTTATTTATTTATTTGTTTATTTACTTATTTATTTATGATAGACAGAGAGAGAGAGAGAGGGAGAGAGAGAGAGAGAGGCAGAGACACAGGAGAAGGGAGAAGCAGGCTCCATGCCCGGAGCCCGACGTGGGACTCGATCCTGGGACCCCAGGATCGTGCCCTGGGTCAAAGGCAGGCGCCAAACCGCCGAGCCACCCAGGGACCCCCCTGGAAACTTTTATTTATTTATGTTAGAAAGAGCGAGTGAGCAGGGAAGGGCACAGAAAGAGGGAGAGATGCAGACTCCCTGCTGAGCACAGAACCCAACAATGCTGATGTGAGGATCCATCCCAACACCCTGAGATTACGACCTGAGCCAAAACTGAGAGTTGGATGCTCAACTGACTGAGCCACCCAGGTGTCCCTATATACTGTATTCTTTCTTTTTTAGGGTGATTTTTTTTTAAGATTTTCTTTATTTCAGACAGAGACAGAGAGCGCACACAATCAGGGGGAGCTGCAGGGAGAGAGGGAGAAGCAGACTCCTCGCTGAGCAGGGAGCCAGACCTGAGCCCAAGGCAGACTCCGAACAGACCAAGCCACTCAAGTGCCCCCTGTATTCTTACAATAAAGTAAGCTAGAGAAAAGAAAATACATTTACAGTATTGTACTATATTTTTCCAAAAATATTTTTCCACGTGTAAGTGGACCCGTGCAGTTCAAACCCATGTTGTCCAAGGGTTAACTGTATCAGATGTGTATACACATATATGTGTATGTGGCACAAATGCACAGAATTTCTCTGGCAGTACACCCAAGGACCTAGGACTACCAGTGGCCTGGTGTTCATATTTCTGCAAAGAGTTCTACAGTATCAATAACTAATATGTAGCATTATTTTATGAACAGCCTTGTTATTGAAATTTACGTAATGATATCAAATCAGGTGCATCATTCTGTATCTCATTTTCCCATTCAACATTTTGTATATTTATACTCACACATATATACAAACATATGCTGTATTTAAATAAGGTATACAGTCACATGGTTCAAATCAAAACGGCATAGAAAGGTTTATAGAAGAAAGTGTTGGGCCATCTGGCTGACTCAGTCAGAAGAGCATGAAACTCTTGATCTGGGGGTCATGAGCTCAAGCCCCAAGTTGGGTATAAAGATTACTAAAAAAAATTAAAAATTAAAATTAAAAAAACAGAAGTCTCATCTCTATCCCATATCCAACTACTTGAAAAAGCAACTACTTGAAAAAGTTTTTGTAGCTTTCTGGAATTTTTTTTTTAAGATTTTATTTATTTATTCATGAGAGACACACAGAGAGAGAGGCAGAGACACAGGCAGAAGGAGAAGCAGTTTCCACACAGGGAGCCTGACGTGGGACTCAATCCCGATCCCGGGTCTCCAGGACCATGCCCCAGGCCCAAGGCAGGCGCCAAACCGCTGAGCCACCCAGGGATCCCCTGGAATTTTCTTTTAAATTTTTATTTATTTATTTTTGAGAGAGAGACAGACAGAGACAGAGACAGAAAGAGAGTTATCACTTGAGCACAGCATGAAGGGAGGGGTAGGGTAAAGTGCAGAAGGTGAGAGAGGACCTTAAGCTGACTCCCTGCTGAGTGCGGTGCCTGACAAAGGGCTCAACTCACAACCCCAAGATCATGAGCCAAACCCAAGAGTCAGATGCTTAACTGACTAAGCCACCCAGGTACCCCTCAGAATTTTCTTATGCAAAGACATACATTCTCCCTCCTTGTTTACACAAAAGAGTGCATTCTATTGACACATTTCTGCACCTTTCCTCTTTCCCTTAATAATATACTTGGAGGTTTTTCAACATTTGTATACCAAGAGCTTTCTCATTCTTTTATACCAGGTTAAATCCCATTGGATGAACCATGATTTATTTAACTGGTCTATCACTGAAAGGCAGTTGGGTTGTTTGCTAGAAAAACCCTGCCTGCCTCACCTGACAGAAAGGCTCAACAGGCAGTCAAGGTAGGTTTCTAAAAAGAGTGAGGAGGAGGAAGGAGACACTGTACTTCCCAGGTGGGCTGAGGGCAGGCCTTGAGGGAAAGTGGGGAGGGAAGTGGGAGCAAAGGTGAAGTCTTCCCCAGTTCTCTTGGGGTCTGGGTTTTCTGCTGAATTTTCCTCTAGTGCTCCTACCACTCAATGCTCTGGCTCAGGTCCCTCGCCCAAGTACCTTACTGTTGGCCTTACCATAGCTCTAGGCCTGACTCGGCCTGGGTAACTTCCCAAGACCCCTTTGTGTAGAGGGAAGCATTGTTGAGGTGTGAGAAACTGGGGTCTGGCTCTCTGGACCTACACCTTCATTGGCTCTCCACATTGCACCCCCAACCTCAACTCCCATGGCACCTGGTCCAGGACCATGAGCAGTGACTGAAGGGCTCAGTGGCCTTCAGCTGGCCCCAGGTCAGCATCCATGTCTGCCCCCTGGCAGTCTCTGGGGCCTGAACCTAGGCTGCCTTGGATGGGTGGGGGATGGGCTGAGGCTGGTAGGTACTCCTTCTCTCACTTTCCACCCTCATCAGTAGACCACCTCCTGTGGTTCCTGTTGTGCAGATCTGAGAGGACTTGCCAAACTGGTAGGGCCTTCAAACTGTGGATGAAATACCGCCTGTGAAATCCAGGAGGACAGGTGCAGGTGGCTCCCCAGTGACCAATGTCACAGAGCAAGCTAGTGTTGGAATGCCCTTGGGAGGGGGTGAGAGGGTCTTGCCTCTGGCGCAGACCTCTACACTTGCCCTGTTGCTTAGCTCAGGTGCCCTCAGGGATACACTGGGTGAGGAGGACAGAAGATCTGGGCTTGGCAAGGAGACAAGAAACCCAGTGGAGTCTTGTAACTGCTGCCTCTCTCAGGCTGTGTCCACCTCTGACTGCAGCTTTCTGGTAGGAAATGGATGGACATGGCCTGGCCAGTGATAACAATGCTTCTGGCTTGGGTGGCTGCTTTGTGGGGTGCTCAGTCCAGGATTCCAGGGCCCAGGATGGACCTACTCAACATCTGCATGGACACCAAGCACCATAAGACAAAGCCATGCCCTGAGGACTAGCTACATGACCAGGTGAGGATGGAGTGGGGTCAAGAGTTGGGAAGAGAGCTGGCCCTAAAAATGGAAGAAGTCAGGGAATGGGAAGATCAGCTGTGGGGAGCAATAAAGTCAGGAGGGTGCCTGAGGTGATCCTTATGAGGCCACCAAATATACTATTGTGGGGGGGCCATTTCTCTGGCCCCCACTGTGTTCTAAGAGCTCTCCTCATACCTTGTCCATGAATATTCCACCTACTTGGATGGTGGACTCTACTCAAACAGATGAGGAAATAGGAAATGAGGCCCACAGAGGGCATAGATATAGTGTACATATGTGTGCATATAGACATACTCGCATACCTTGGTAATCGAGAGGCTCGTCGTTAGCACGGGCTAGGACAGGATCAGGCAGTGCCTTTTCCAGCCTTAAATATGCCCGGCCCATGGAGCTCAAAGACAATGTACAGGGGAGACAGGCCCCTCAAGATCATGATGCAGCAAACACAGAGGAACAGTCCAGGTCCTCCACCCCCATCATGTCCTGACAAATCAGATAACTCTGGGAAGACTTCCCAGGAAAGGTGCCATCAGCCTTGGCCTTGGAGGATGAGTAAGAGTTTTCCAGGAAGACAAAGCAGGAAAGGGAAGCCTAGCAGAGAACAGTTTGTACACAGAGGGTGAAAGCACAAGCAGTGGCCAGCGGAGTGTGACCGGAGCCAAGGATGCTGCTGCCCACAGAGAGGGGCCCTATTTCATAGGAAAAGCCCCTGAAGCAGCTCAAAACCTGGGCTTCCGGTTGAACTCCAGGCTTCTGACAGATGCCTGTCCTTCATTCCCTCTCATATGCTCCTCGGCTCCCCATGAGGTCTCATGTTGCTAGAAGGTTGGGGGGGGGGGGCTGGAGGTGTCCCCAGGGAAAGCTGCCATGGACTGATCCAGGGACTGGAAGTGAAAAGTGGGAAGCCCAGAGCCCCATGACTTCTGAGTCATTTCTGACGTCTCATTTGTGGTGTGGTGGTGGTGGTGGTGGTGTGTGTGTGTGTGTGTGTGTGTGTGCGCACACGCGCACACGTGCTAAAATACACATAATATAAAATTTGCCATTTTAAGCATTTCCAAGTTCCCGGTTTGGCGCCATGAAGTCCATTCACATTGTTTTGCAAACATCACCAGGATCTATCTCCAGAACTGCTTCTCTTCCAAAACTGAAAGTCTGTATCCACTTCTTCATTTTCAGAACTTTTTAAGATCTAGAGGGTACTTTTCAAAACCCTCTGGAGCACTTCTTCTTGGCCAAGAAATGGCACACAGACTTTTGAGGGAGCCAGATGACTAGAATTCTGAGGGACAGGGGCTATAATGGGAATGCTTATCTGTATAGGAGCCCCTACTATAGGCCAGCAAGTGCCTTTCATTATAATAATTCACCCTTTTGGAGGCAGAAACCACTGATTGGCTGGCAGGTCCAGGATTAGGTACATGAGGTCTTGCAGAGCCACCAGGAGTTGGGGAATCTGAGGAAGAGCACGCATGAAGTCAGGGGGGCCTGGAAGCATGTTCTATGCCAGCTGGACTGGAGAGAAGTTAGGTGGTTGGAGATAGGTGGGTTTGGTTCACCCTCCTGGATTTTCCTTGTTTCTCCTTTATTGCCCAGAGTTGTCACATCTCCCTGGTGGCTTGGTCCTGGGTGCTAGAATTCATCTCTGAGATTTTAAGCAATTGGCTGAAAATCACTGAGCTCTGGAGTCCCACCTTGGAACTATTTCTACAGAGAAACCATCACCATTTCCACTGTCTTGTCTGCCTTGAATTGACCTCTCTTGGGACGGCCTCCAGCATTGTGTCAGGTCCACCTTGGGGTTCACGTGCAAAACATTGCCCCCTCTGTTCCCTACTTTCTGGACCTATCTGGAGTCCCCAACCTGGGAGTCCAGACCCTAGGAGACCCAGATCAGCCCCCTCCATCTCTGTCCTCACCATAGCTTGGGGCCAGGCTCTCCTCCTCCCTGCCCTGAGTTCAAAACTGGATCCCACCATTTACCAGGGATACAGCTTACATAAACTTTGTAAAAATTAAATGAATGATGCTTTTGCTAGAATGTCAAGGGCATAAAGTGCAAAAGCCTCGGGAAGTTTGCACTTGCCATTTTCTGCACCTACAATGTTCTTTGTCTTCCTCTGCTCCTGACTAAAGCCATAAGCCCCATAAAGGCAGAAATTTGAAGAAAAAAAAAAGGGCAGAGATGTGATATGTTTTGTTCACTCACTGTTGTATTCTCAGCACCTAGCACAATGCGGGATTGATAATAAGTACTCAGTTAATATTGGCTGGATGCAAAATGAGTAATATAAATAACCCGAAACACGTGGAGTAACTTGTAAGTCATTTAGAGCTGCGGAAATGATTGCTTCCGCAGAGAGTGGTTCCCAGGACTCCCACATTTTAAAAACTTTCTTTTAAAATCTCTGTTATAGGGTTGCCTGAGTGGCTCAGTCTCAGCTCAGGTCATGATCCTGGAGTCAGACCAAGCCCTGCATTGGCCTCCCTGCTCAGTGGAGAGCCTGCTTCTCCCTCTCCCTCTAACTCTCCCCCAACCCCTCATGCTCTCTCTCTTTCAAATAAATATATAATTTTTTAAACAAAACTCTATTATAATTGCCTCTACCCCAAGGGCCAGGCATAGCGGCGCCCTCCCCAGCAAGTATTCCTCTGGACACCCTACCTGGGGCTGAGGAGCCAGAATTTGAAGGAGATGGCTGTGGGGAGCGGGGCAGTTAGTCCGGGTCTCCCCCACGCAGTGCACTCCCTGGAGGAAGAAGGCCTGCTGCACCGTCAGCACCAGCCAGGAGCTGCACAAGGACACCTCCCGCCTGTATAACTTCACCTGGGACCACTGCGGCAAGATGGAGCCCGCCTGCAAGCACCACTTCATCCAGGACAACTGTCTCTATGAGTGCTCACCCAACCTGGGGCCCTGGATCCAGGAGGTACGGGACTGCCCCTCACCCCCACCCAGCAGGCTGCCATCCAGCTTGGACAAGGCCATGGCTGCCCCCACCCCTGGCTGAAGGGAGCCCTCCCTCTTGGCCTCCCACGCAGGTGAACCAGAGCTGGCGCAAGGAGCGCATCCTGCACGTGCCCCTGTGCAGAGAGGACTGTGAGCAATGGTGGCGGGACTGCCGCACCTCCTACACCTGCAAGAGCAACTGGCACAGGGGCTGGAACTGGACCTCAGGTGAGGGCTTGGGGGTGGGGAGACGGAGGGGGGCTTTGAGGATCTGGGATTGGGTGAGGATTTCTGGGGGTGGCCAGAAATGAGCTTTGGGCCCGGGGTGGGGGGTGGGGTGAATGTGCCTGCCCTCTCTCCCCTGCAGGAGTGAACAAGTGTCCAGCTAGGACCACCTGCCGCACATTTGAGGCCTACTTTCCCACGCCTGCAGCCCTGTGTGAGGGCATCTGGGATCACTCCTACAAGGCCACCAACTACAGCCGGGGGAGTGGCCGCTGCATCCAGATGTGGTTTGACCCGGCCCAGGGTAACCCCAATGAGGAGGTGGCGAGGTTCTACGCAGGGGCCAGGAACGCTGGGGTTATGCCCCAAGGGATTGAGCCTCTCCTGCTCAGCCTGGCCCCCATGCTGTACCTCTGGCTCTTGGGCTGAGCCCCTCCCACTGCCAACACCTGCACATCTTCCTTGTCTGCAACCAGGCCTGGTGACCTGGGTTCAGCCCAGCTCAGCACTCTCATATAAAGGGGGCCTCACAATGTCCTGGTCATTGGTTCTTGTTCCAAGATGGGTCATATGGGGTTCCTTTGACACCCTATTTTAATAGATCCATGTGTATCTTGTGTCTTGCAAATAATGTGGCCATGAGTTGCTTGGGAGGACATGCCTCACTGCTTTATCATTCCTATTGAGAAGGCCAAAGAGGGACTGTGACTAGCTTGAAGTTCACCAGCAAGTAGGGGGGAGAATCTGACCCCTTAGTCTGAGGCTCTTACCTGTTTCAGGCTTACCCCTCATGCCAAGTTTGTCAGTCCCACACTACAAGGGGATGAGGGGATGGGTGCAGAAAAAGTGGGAAGAGACTGATAGAGGAGTTCTCAGGACCTGGTGAGAAAGAAAGTTTCTTTCCCCTTCCTTCCCTTACTAGATGTGGATTAGGGTGGAGATATTGGTGTTGGTAGTGGGTGAGGAATCCCAATGATCAACAACAGCATTGCTTTCCTTTTTAAAAAGCACAGTTGCTGGGCAGAGGGAAAGTTTCAAGCAGACTCCACGCTAAGCATGGAGCCCGATGTGGGGTTCAATCTCAGAACCCTGAGATGATGACCTGAGCCGAAACCAGGAGTTAGGTGCTCAACAGACTGAGCCACCTAGGCGCCCCTGCAGTGAATACTCTTACACGTAGTAGGATGTCATACTTGAATTCCAGAAAAGGGATTGCTGGGTCAAGAAGTATATGGATTTATAATTTTGATAGTTACAACTTCACAGGGGTTCTATCAGTGTGGCTCCTCCACCAGCGATATATGAGTGCCTGTTTCCCCACAACCTTGTCAAACTTTTGATTTCCTACTAAGCTGATATTTTTTGCTAAACTAATGGGTGGGAAAAGGCCAGCTTGGTGTAGATTTCATTTGCCATGTCTTATCATGAGAACACAGTTTTTGAGATCTTCCTTATAGATCTATTGAGATTTGACTCATTCTTTTCAATTGTTGGGCAATATTCCAGTCTACGTAGTACATGTCACATTTAACTCAGCTTCCTACTGATGGATATTTGAGGGAGAGTTTTCTTTTTTTAAGCTTCTATTTATTTATTCATGAGAGACACACAAAGAGAAACAGAGACACAGGCAGAAGGAGAAGCAGGCTCCCCATGGGGAACCTGATGTGGGACTTGACCTGAGCCAAAGGCAGACACTCAACCACTGAGAGCCACCCAGGTTCCCCGGGAGGGGTTTTTTTTTATTATCTTGACATCATTAAAAGGCACAGGCCAGTTATGTTGTAGAATATCCCTTATTTGGGGTTTATCGGTTTCTTTCTCATTAGATTGAGGTTATACACTTTGGCCACAAATATGCCCAAAGCAATACCATGTCCTTCTCAGTGTATCATAACAGAAGGCATAGGGTGGTGAGTTCACCCATTTGAACTAACCATTTGGTTAAGACTGGGTCCATCAGGTTTCTCCACTACTTTTTTCCTCTTTGTAATTTGTAAATATAATAAAGGCAGATATTTGAGAAATGGAGCTATCCTATTCATATCAAACTGGCTCCCATGAGTTTCATTAACTGACGGACATTCTTTAAAAAGTAAAACACACACCAAAAATGTCTTATTATGTGATAGCCCCTCTCCTCCAACCCTTTAATGCTTTCTCATGGTATCTGTTGGAAAAAAACTTCAGTGGCATAGAAAGTCCTGCTCTCCACCCCTATAGACGACTTAGAGCTCATTTCCAATTGTTCCCCTTGCACACCGCAGAGGTGAGCTCCATTCACTTTTCACTTTGCACCTTTATTCCAGCAATTCTCTGTGTTCCTGGAATGTTCTTTTGTCCCCTGCAGGCTGGCTCCTTGTAGCCACTTAAATTTCAACCTACGACTACCCACTAACATGACTTCAGACCACCCAACCAAAAGAGGTCATCCAGGCACTTCCTTATCACATCGCTCTTGTCCCTTTGTACAAATATCTACTGTGTTTATCATATGCTATTTATTACCTAACAAAACATACACTCACAAGAAGTCTATAAGAGCCAGGGAGGTTAGAGTAGGCTTCCAGAAGAGTCCTGTTTGCAAAGCAGAAATTGGTAGGAGGAAGAGCATTCCAAGGAGAGGGCTCAGCAAGGACAAAGGCTTCCCAGGATGGAAGTGGAAGCAGAAATTTCTAGGTGGCTGAACTAGAAATTAAGAGGGCAAGGGCAGGAACTGAGGCCAGAGGAGAAACAATGGATTTGCAATCCTTAGGCTGATGCCCTGAGGGCCTCTCACAGAACTTTTCTTTCTCTCTTCCTGGAAGAAATCTGGCTTGGAATGGGACTCAGATCCAAAATGTAGCCTCCCCTGGCTGTCTGGGAGCTGCAGTTTCCACAGTTAAGAAAATAGGCGACGGGCTAGCAGGACTCAGGAAAAGCTCCAGTTTTGCCCACCCCCACTCCCCGCAGCCTGGGACCTCCACCTGTGCAGATCAAACACCTTTCTATTATCTTTGGTCACAGCCTACAGATTGGGGTCTACAGGATGCTGATGGCTCACCTTGCTGATATTAAAAGTCCGGTCCAGGCGGATAATTCTCAGGATGGGCTCAAAGGTGGCTGCTTCACCCTGCCCCTCCCTGCTGGTCAGATAGCCTCCACACTGATCCCAGAGTCAGAGGAAGGCTTGAAGCTCATCAAAGACAGAGACTCCCCACAGATCAGAACTCCACCTTCAAGGGGCTCAGGGCGTGATCCCAGGGTCCTAGGACGAGTCCTGCATCCGGTTCCCTGCAGCCTGCTTCCCCCTCTGCCAGTGTTTCTGCCTCTCTCTGTGTTTCTCATGAATTAAAAAAACTAAACAAAACAAAAAACAACCTCCACCCTCATTCTCATCTCCCATTAGCTGGTGACTTTTAAAGCACTTGGGGGCCCATACCTTTACTCCCTGAGGGGGGGGGGGCTCCAGCCCAGTTAATGATCAGTCCCCAGGGCAGGGGTGGAGGATGCTGGGTAGGTGCAAATTCCTTCTGGAGGAGTTCCCACCTTCGGGCATTCTTAAGTGTCTGGTCTTTCTTCTCCAATCCACAGTAGGCTCCCAGGTTTTATAAAGCCAGAAGAGAGGCGTGAGGGGTCCGATGGCCCTTCACCTGCTGAGGTCTTCTGAGGTTGTAACCCTTCCTGCTTGTCACAGGATTCAAGTAAGGATGGCTCCGAGGGAGAGGAAAAGCAGGGCGGGCATGAGTCCGGGGTCTCCTAGGAGTCCATTTCTTTGCAGGCCCTTCAGGGCTTGGCTGCTCCTCCAGCAAGCCCATTCCCCTTCCTGTTTCATGGTCCCAGACCTGTGGCCCTCCCCAGGGTGCTAAGGTCCCATCTTCCTTAAACTCTTATTGCTGTCCATAGGCTGATGGCTCCCACATCTGTATCCAACTTGTACCCCTCCCCTGGGCTTTCACCTCTACAACCACTTCTCCCTGGGTTGCACACAGGCATGGGGACAAAACGCATTCCCTCTTGCTCAAGTGTGCTCCTCCCCTTTTTCCCTTTCCCTACCCAGTGGGGCCGCCATGGTAAAAATGGTACCACCGCGGTAAAAGGAAGGTTTGTGCTTGGCTGGAGTGGGAGTGGTGGGAGGGGTCTAACAGGAGACCAGACTCTCAGATGCTATAGAAGGGACACCCGTGTGGGTGGGTGCAGGGGGGGAAGGCAGGGGGTCTGGGGCCCCCAGAGCAATTGAGCCTCTAGGCTTCTGCACGTCTGATTTTACCACTGGAGGTGGGTGATGCCTGGGGCTGATGAGGTTGGAGGACTTGGTGGTTCTATACATTGGGGACTGTAGAGGTCTGTACTCTCTACAGCTGCCTGGGAGCTTAGAAGCCTACACTCCAGCCCTTGCCCTGCAATTGGTTCTGTCCTGATTCTCTGGATCTCATTCTCATCTGTATAAGGACAGGGGTTGGAAGTGGACAGATTAGTTTAAAGAATCCCAGCAACTCAGGCTGCAAGATTTTATCAGACCTGAGTTTGGGGGAGAAAATGGGATAAGCGGGGCCAGGGGACTGGCTTTAGGCCTGCACTATTAATCCACTCCCTCCCACCGACCCATGTCCCCTGGAGGTCTGGCTAGTGCCCACAATAATTAAGGTGCAATAATTAACTGCTGAGTGGCCTTCGTCCAGTGCCAGGCTCTGCTCCTGGGCCACATTCCCTACTGCCTGTCTCCTAGGCCACTAAACCTCAGCTGTGCCCCGGAGGAGGACAAGGGGAACTGTAGAGTGGAGCAGAAGCCTGAGCCAGACCAGGAACCACTTCCTCTCCCAGGTATGCCACTCCCCACCCCTTCAGTAGAGGCAGCACACCCCAAGGTGCTCCCAGCTTGTGTTAAAGAATTTGCTGAACCAGGAGGATCCACCTTGCCCAAATCCCAGACAACCCAAAAGTAGAGGCTGAGGGCAGAGCAGGGGCTGCCCAAGGTTAAATTAACCAAGTCCACCCCCGAAACCAGAACCAGCGGGCTCTTGCCTTTCAGCACAGTGCTGAGTTCTTAGTTTGCTTCAAGTCTGGGGTTCTAGGGTGTGTGTCTTCTGGGTGATGAGGATGATGGTGGTTGGGGGGAGAGTTGCACTGAGATCTGAAGCTGAGACTAGGAAGGAATGTGGGGAGTGGCTTGCAGAGTGGCATAGCTTGCTGGGAGAAGAGAGCTCTGCCTCTAGAAAGCAAGTGCAGGGAGGTAAACCACCCACCAACCAGGTGGGCCCACGGAGCCCTCACCCCAGGCATCCCCCGGTACTCCACATCAGCTACTGCATAAGAATCTCAGCACAGTGAGGGTGCAGAGGACAAAGCTGAAGGAGCTCCAGACTCGAGGGGCCTGAATCAGGCTTGGGTGTTCCCTACTGCATGACAGGGGGCTCATCCTTTAACCGCTGCCAACTGATGGCACCATC